TGTGGTTGATTATACTAACAGGCAAGGACATAAGCTTTTTTGTCTGATACCTGCTCGTCATGAAGACAGAAGACGACGATGGCCAGCGGCAATCAACCAAAAGCACTGGGACCCATCCAAGTACTCCCTAATATGCAGTGAACCCTTTATACAAGATAAAGCAATCACAAGTTTGTATTTATTTTATTTCCATTAATTTGGAGGACAATGACAAACGTCAAACGTGTCTCTTACTACTGTCCTGTATGTGCGCTGCAACATTGACATTTTTATCTTTTAAGTCAATTGCGTGTTTCACTATTTTCCTCTCCGTCAGTACGTACAGTATCATGTTTGGCTGTAGACAGAAAAGCCACAGAAAAGTGGACTATTGGTAATGCTACCAGCAAAATGTACATATAAATCTGCTCCAGTGTAAGGGGAAGCATTGTTAACGATAATGATAAAGATCATGTAGGGTGAATTCGGGCAAAAATAGACATTTTATTTAATCGATCAAATTGACTGGGGGGAGAAGGTACGGGTCAACATCCAGTTAGGCAATCCTTAAGTTCTCCAAATACCACTCTTTGTGAGCCCTGACCTGATGTCCTACTTCCACCTATAACGTAATCGAACATGTGCTTGAAGCAGCCACTTCTCGATTTAGGAGAGGAAGCTCCGTTTTTAAGAGTTGTGTCCGTTTTGCTCTCGCAGCAATGCTAGTTTCCAATACTTCCGCCGTAAGCTCATTCACAATCACGTGACTGGATGACGTTGATGCATCTGGTCAATATCAGACTGTTGTGGTGTAGAGAAAGCAGCATTTGCAGTCAGAGTCACATGGGACGTGGAGCCAGTTATATATATAGCCAGACTATAGGGTTGACCACAAATTACAGGGTTCACCAAAGATTACACGGTGCACCACAGACTTCAGGGTTCAACACAGATTACAGGGTGTGCCACAGATTACAGGGTTCACCAGAAATCACAGGGTGCGCCACAGATTACAGTGTTCACCACAGATTACAAGGTTCACCATAAATTACAGGGTTCACTACAGACTACAGGGTTCACCACTCTCTGCCTGTGAACAGTGTATCATCTTTATTCCTGGGTTATTGTCTCCGTCATAAACATATGTACCGTACTGTTTCACATTTATGACCAGCTCATGGTATTTGGATTGTGCTGCAGGAGCTTCAGTTGACATTTCAAACAAGTGACCTCGTTCTTATTTATGTTCCTGGCTGAAAACTGTTATGGTCAGTTACAGGCACCGCTCAAATCTAATCTTTAGTCGATACATGCGCCTTGTTTCCCAGCGGTGGAAGCGGCTTCCCATCACTGGTTGAAACATTAACACAAAGGCTCTCCTGTTGTTCATGGCCTTGCAGGTGCGCTAATCTGCATGTACTCATCGTCGTGTTCTTTCTTATCTGTTTCTTCCGCGTCTCCCTGCATCTCGAAGGTCCTTGGTGCGCTTAATGTATCGTCCCTTTGCTCTCTCCCAAACTTTCTTGTCTGCAGCTGTGTATGACTCATCTCTTGTGACGAATGCTCATTGTTCTGTCTGACACACCTCCAGTATAAATTATCAACACGCTGGTTGAGAGAACGGACAGACACGGCACCGATCCAGGTCCCATTTCTGTTTGACTCCTTCTGCGCAGAAATGTCATTTTTGTACTCATCACTTCTGTAAATAAACTGCACAAAAGGACAAGTTTGTTTCCTCTCGGTTTCATTCATTTGAGGCAATAGAATTTCCATAACAAAACACCATGAGCCTTTGGACACAATGCTTGGAGGATGTGGAGTGTAGTTTCACTGAGGATGTTTTGAGATGATGGAGGCACTATTATACTACTGTCCCTATTGCACACTCTGTTCCCTAAACGCTACACATAAATAAAGCTTACTTACTGTAATGACAGTTTTTAGAGTAATCACATTAAAACCAGCCGCAGCAAATACACGGACGTAAAAGGCCTTTTCAATGCAGAGACGACCTTCTGACGCCATGCTGAGCTTTGTGAAGGTCCCTGCTGTCTGTCACACCCTTGTGTCTTTCGCATCTCGCATCTGTATGCTTGCATTTCTACCATTGTCTGTCTGTTCGCACCTCCATGCCCTGTGTCTGATTGCCTCACCACAGGGGCATGGCGCCTGCGCTCCCTATGCGCCTCCTTCACCGGTGGCCCCCTCCCATCTGTTGTGGGCGTGACTGTCTTTCATGTGATGTCTATGTAAACAGGAAGCCTGAGCTCTGCGAGCCAGAGCTGGGTATGCTGCCTTTTGGATATGCTAGCTCTCCGCACGTGTGTACAATAAACTTACGCTCCTGATTAAGACAAATACTTTTGGGCTTTCTCCTTGCTTTGGGGTATGTAATTCTATAACATTACTTACTTACTTACTTACTTACACAGTACTGGGTGGGGGAGCACTCACACTTCAGGAGAGGCTGTGTTTGACTCTGGTGATACTCGGCGATAGTTTTTCACCACACATCAGAGTTTGAATTTAGACTAAAGGGTCAGATTCTGGTCTCCTCTGACCACAGCATGACACTACCCCACCCTCATACTTATGATAGTATAGTGTTGGTCTCTTCTATCCACTGCTCCTACTTCCACATGTTGGATGTGTCCTGCTTTGCTTGTGCCTCTATTTCAGGACGTTCTTTTTACCACTAAATAATGTCTGCAGCCTCTTCCAGTGTAACCATGGGCCTCGTGTCCGCATCTGTTATCAGTGTTGTCCGAGTTGGAGCTGTAAGTAAAGCCTTTAGGGAAAGATGTGGGGAATGTTCAAAAACTATATTTAATGTTCCACTCTTTATAAATCTACTTCCACTGAACTGGTGTCTGTTACTTTTCTGTGACTTTATGTTTGTGGTCATAACAAGATCACAAGATCAAGCTTTATTATGAGCTGTTCTCATAGGCTGTACCCCCCCTTCCCTGGGAACCTCAGTCCAGGATCTACATCCTTAGTGCTGGATCTACTGCCTCAGTCCTGGGTCAACAGACACGCGCACATGCGCACACACACATGCGCACACACACAAATACTTATAAAACGTAAACATCTGTGTTTATGTACATATTTAATCCATCTCATATTTAATCTTTTCCCCAAACGTCAGGGAAGCGCACTGAGCACAACTTATATCAAAGAGCAGAGATTATGTTAAGTGGGATTAAGAAGCCACATCCAAATAGATAAAAGTAGTGAACAGGAAAAATATGAATGTTATTTCAGACTTGTGTTAAACGCAAAACATTTCATTTAATACAAAATATGCACCGAAATGACACCAACAACTATTCCACACAGAACTGAACGGCCGTAGGACTGGGCTGGGGAAATCTGTCTGGAATCTTAAGCAGACTGGTCCAGGACAGGGTTACAGGTGCCAGCCTGAACCTTCTGAGGTCCACTGCAGCGATTCCTAATAAACATGTCGTGATGGCTAATCATATTTCCTATTTTAGATAACTGTAAAATGAAGGCGAGTCTTTGTGTTGGTTAACATAAAAGTATGATAATGTCTTTAGTTCATTGACTTCCTAAAGATCTGTGTAGATTGTAAATACACAGAGATGCACTGACAGGTCATCAGACGTCACCAAACATCCACCACAGTCACCAAAACAGGGCAGTCACACTGTGATGTCCCACTGTGATGTCACACTGTAATGTCACACAGTGATGTCACCAAACAGGACTGTGATGTCAAAAACAGCTGACTGTGTGCTCTCAGTGTAGAATACAGACTCGTATAGGGTTTTAGAAAAAGTCTCTGTGTCTTCACAAAAACCAACAGCACACAGTACTTTAGCACACTGCACTTTTGCACACAGCACTTAAAAGGTACTGTGTGTGTTAAAAAAGAAAACAAGTTTGAGAATTATCAAAGAGAAAAAAGGTGAGCATTAAACGAAATACATAAAATGGAAACCAAAACAAATCAATGTCCAAACCAGGATCTTCTTGCTGTGAAGTGAGAGGGCTAACCACTCTTAGATAGTGTAATTTTATCCCTTCAGTAAAGAAGGGACTTATTCTTACAAGTAAATGGCCTTCACTATCTTTTCCAGATATCCTCAAACTCTTAGATTGTGCATCCAAATATCCTGCAGTATTTTGACCAGTGTGTGTGCTGAAGACAGACTAATGATCTCCCACGACTAGACCCGGACCCTCCCCCTTCAGAGCTGCCGGTGCGACCCCAGCCCCAGTGTCAAACGCTCTCACACTCTGTCAGCTCCTCCTCACTGCTGAGTCGGCCTAATGAGCAAGCCAGCGGGAACGAGCACAAGAGAGGGAGGCCTTTAAAGATATAGTTCGAAATTAGAAGTTTCTATTTGCTTTCTTGGCTGTCACAAGTTATTAGCTTCCCCATGTGAAGCGTCTTTGAGCATCCAAAAAAGCGCCATACAAGTTTGATGTTTTGATTATTATTAAAGGATTGTAGAAGACATGTGCCGTGTACACATTTTAAAACGTTGCACCAACAAAATAAAAAAAAATAATAATCATAAAACATCCAATTATCCAACACTGGATAAATGGAAGAGAAATAGTGACAGTGATTGTACAAATAGTGTGTGTACCAAATGTACAGGATGAAGTAAATTGAAAATGCACCTAATCCTGGTAAATAATGTACCACTATTGATAATATCTTATAGAAATCAGGTCCTTTCTCTTAGAGACTGTGTCTCTAAGAAACTCTAAGAGACTGTTACTTATCATCATCACAAACCCATCTGTCTCAGAGCGTTCACATATGTCCCTGAGTCAGAGTGCACTAGATTGACTTCACCCCTGTTTGGATTCTGTTCACACACTCCGTGCTTTACTCAACATCAGCTGACAGCCAAACTAATGTCCAGGACAACACACACACATAAACACACTCACACACACAAGCTCATTTGTTATACACAGGCCAGCTTTAGACCCAACCAGAGAGAGAGAGAGTGGGAGAGAGCGAGAGAAAGCCAGGATCAGTGTTTGATCAGAGCAGACTTACGCAGACACATGTTGTCTGTAAAGAACAGGGTGAACCTGTCACACTCGTCCTTGTTGTTGCCGCTGTTGCTGCAGTTGCAGTATGGCGACACGCTGATCCTCGGAGAGCGCAGGTAGTTGGGCGTTAGTACGGTACCTGCACACAGACAGTGGGACGTGAGGGAGAGGGCTCCAGACAGGCAGTGAGACATGAGGGAGAGGGCTGCATACAGTCACTGAGACATGAGGGAGAGTGCTGCAAACAATGAGACAACGAGACATGAGGGAGAGCGCTGCAGACAGTGAGACATGAGGAGATGGCTGCAGACAATAAAACAAGAGGGACAGGCCGCCAGACAGACAGTGAGACATGAGTGAAAGGACTGAAGACAATGAGACGTGAGGGAACGAGGGAAGCAATGAGACATGAGGGAAGCACAACAGTGTTCTGACCAATCAGGCGCTGCTAATCAGAGCGGAGCTAGAGCAGGGAGAAACGTGTAGAGAAGTCTAAAGAACATCTCCGGATTGCTAAAGTGACAGCGGATGGAGACCAGGATGGAGACCAGCAACAGGCGGATCTCCCCCCTCTGCATCTGCCCCCCTTCCTGCCTCCACCTCTTCACACGTCTCCAGCCCAGTGGCCTTCGACTGCCCCAAGCCCCCCTGCCCCACACCCCCAGGCCAACCTCTACCAGTACACTCCGGTCACCCCCCACTCCCCCCTCTTCATCACACCGGACCAGGTGAGGACAGAGCTGAACGACTGAAGCAGAGGAAATCCACAGGACCGGAACGGATCCGTCCCAGGCTGCTGAGGACCTGTGCAGACCAGCTCTCTGAGGTCCTTAGCTACAACTACAACCTGAGCCTCACCAGGAGGAGGTCTCTGTCCTGTGGAAGACCTCCTGTGTGATCCTGGGTTCCTAAAACAGCGCAAGCCAAGGAACCGGCTCACTACAGACCAGTCACACTGACCTCCCACCTGATGAAGACCATGGAGAGGCTCATCCTCACCCATCAAATAGGCAGGCGCCAGCACGCAGATGAGCAGCTCGTCACTTCGGCTCTCTCTCTTTCTGACCTTTTTCACAATTTATTTTTGTAGATGTGCTGTTCTTTTATTACAAATTCTTAGAGGTGATATATCGTGCAATAGTGCGTACGGGAAGCCTAGTCTTGTTGACTTTTTTGACGGAATAACCATGTTTTCGGCACTTTTGGATCCCTCCGCTCACAGCGCCACAAGACCCCCCGCGTGTCCCATTGTCTACACACGGGAGCAGCTCCTCGGACTTAGAGACTCCGCTTTCCTGCATGCAGAGAAGCCGGTGATCGCTGTGGAGATCCGTAGGAGACGCAGAGGTTCCAGGGGAGGCTGAAAGAGGAAGAGGAGGCCGTACCTTCCCTCCATCATCATGGGGAACGTACGGTCCATCTCTATTAAGACTGAGGAGCTGGTAGCACCGCCATCAGAGGGAGAACAGACAATGTGGATTAATGTGATTTTCTGAGACGTGGCTGTGTGGGAATATACCGGATTCTGTGGTCGCGCTGGAGGGATTTAAACTTGTGCGTGCAGATCGGAGCCTGGAGGGAAGTGGGAAGAAGAAAGACGGGGGAGTCGCAGTGTACGTGAATGAGAGGTGGTGCATCCCGGCTCATATTCATGTCATTAAACGTACATGCACCCAGGACCTGGAGCTGCTGGCTCTGAGCATGAGGCCCAGATATCTGCCGCGGGAGTTTTCAAACACCGTGGTTCTGTGTGTTTGCATTCTCCCGTCAGCAGACGCGGCCGCAGCCTGTGAAGGGATTCACAGCACCATGACCCAGATCCAGACCTGCAGCCCCCGCGCTCTGATTCTGATCAGCGGAGACTTTAACCACGCCTCCCTCTCTGCCACTCTCCCGACGTTCAAACAGTATGTCACGTGTCCCACTCGGGAGAATAAGACAATTGACTCACTGTATGCAAATGTCCGGGACGCATACGCCTCCTCCCCCCTCCCCCCGCTCGGACGCTCCGATCACTCGGTAGTTTGCCTGGGACTTGATCTGCAGCTCTCATGGTGATGACATCGAGAGCCTGACACACTGTATTACAGACTATTTCCTCTTCTGTGTGGATAACACTGTACCGACTAGGAAGGTACGGTGCTTTTCCAACAACCACCCATGGATGACCTCTGAGCTTAAAGCCCTCCTAAACCTCAAGAAAAGGGCTTTCATCTCAGGGGACAAAGAGGAGCAGAAGAGGATCCAGCACGAGCTCCAGTGCAGGATCAGGAGGGCCAAGATGGACTATGGGAAAAAGCTGGAGCAGAAGCTGGCCCAGGGAAACGCCCGTGACGTGTGGAGAGGCCTAAAGAACATCTCCGGCTTTGGACAAAGTGACAGAGGGACAACGGATGGAGATCAGCACCGGGCGGATGAATTTAACCAGTATTTCAACCGGTTTGATTCTCCCCCCTCTCCATCTGCCCCCCCTCCCGCCCCCACCTCTTCACACGTCCCCGGCCCAGTGGACACTGCCTTTGGCTGCCCCGGGCCCTCCCTGCCCCCCCACATCCCCAGCCCCCCCCTCTCCATCACACCGGACCAGGTGAGGAGTCAGCTCCAGCGACTGAAGCAGAGGAAATCCGCAGGACCGGACGGGATCAGTCCCAGGCTGCTGAGGACCTGTGCAGACCAGCTCTCTGGGGTCCTCAGCTACATGTACAACCTGAGCCTCAGCCTGGAGAAGGTCCCTGTCCTGTGGAAGACCTCCTGTGTGATCCCGGTTCCTAAAACTGTGCACGCCAAGGAACCGGCTCACTACAGACCAGTCGCACTGACCTCCCCCCTGAAGAAGACCATGGAGCGGCTCATCCTCACCCATCTGCGCTCTGTGGTCAGCCCCACCCTGGACTCTCTCCCACCTGGAGCCCGCCTGGAGCGCTGTGAGGGTCATGTTTTTCCAATGTGGTTTTACTGCAAATGGCAAATAAATGAATCTGAATCTGAATCTGAATCTGGGGGGCCCATAATACAAACGCCCTGCACAAGAAGGGCCAAAGTCGCCTCTACCTTCTGAGGAGGCTGAGGTCCTTCGGAGTGAGCAGGCCTCTGCTCAGGACTTTTTATGACTCTGTGGTAGCCTCTGCCATTTACTACGCTGCCGTGTGCTGGGCCCCGGGCAGCACAGAGCGGGACAGGACTGAACAAGCTGGTCAGGAGGGCCGGCTCCACTCTGGGCTGCCCCCTGGACTCTGTGGAGGAGGTGAGGGACAGGAGGGTGCTAGTCAAAGCCACCTCCATCATGAACAACAACATCATCCCACCCACTGCACAGGATGGTAGAGGAGCTGAGGAGCTCCTTCAGTGGAAGACTGAGGCACCCTCAGTGTAAGAAGGAGCGCTACCGCAGGGCCTTTATCCCCACTGCTGTAAGACTGTACAGTCACTGTAAGTCACTTTAAGTCACTGTATAAGAATGAAAGAACCTGCACTACTATTGACACTATCTCTGATTGCCACTTTAAATTGCCACTTTTAAATTGCCACTTTTTATTGTACATAATATATCCTGTATTTAACATGTTTGCACATTTCCTCTCTTTTTGCACAATCTGAGTGTTCCTATCCATGCCAAATGTGGCATGTAAATTTCTCCCCTGTGAGAAGAATAAAGCATTTCTTATCTTATCTCTGCCCTGTGGTCAGCCCCACACTAGACCCACTGCAGTTCGCCTACAGGCTCAACAGTAGGCGCTCTCCCAGCTGGAGCCCGCTGGCAGTGAGGTGGACAGTCACCTCACAGCATGGACCATCGACTACTTCTTCAGCTGCCACCAGCAGAAGTTTTCCGATGACTCCGCCATCGTGGTTTGTGTGTCTGAGGGGAACGAAGTGGAATACCAGCTGGTTAGCGCAACCACTTGTGCTTGAACACCAGTACGACCAAAAACCACTTACCCATATGCCGCTGAAGATCCAGGGGGAGGATATTGAGCGGGTGGACAGCTTCATGTACCAGGGTGTTCCCATTAACAATAAACTGGACTGGTCCCACAACACCAACGTCCTGTACAAGAAGGGCCAAAGTCGCCTCCACCTTCTGAGGAGGCTGTGGTCCTTTGCAGTGAGCAGGCCTATGCTCAGGACTTTTACGACTCTGTGGAAGCTTGGGTCCCGGGCAGCAAAGAGCGGGACAGGGGTAAACTGAACAAGCTGGTTAGGAGGGCCAGCTCCGCTCTGGACTGCTTCCTGGACTCGGTGAAGGAGGTGTGGGACAGGAGGGTGCTAGTCAAAGTCACCTCATGATCATGAACAACACCTCCCATTGCATAGGACTGTAGAGGAGCTCCTTCAGTGGAAGATTGAGGCACCCTAAATGCAAGACGGAGCACTACCGCAGGGCCTTCATCCCCACCAATGTCAGACTGTAGAATAAGTCAAAGAACCAGCACTGCTATTGCCACTTTTTCTATTGTACATAATATCCTGCACACACTATTTTTTTAATCTTAACATGATGCACTGTTCTGTCTATGCCAAATGTGATATGTAGATTTCTCCATTGTGAGATCAATAAAGTATCTTATCTTATCTTAAAAGTGTGGATTAAAAAGTAATAAGATTAATTGAACAAAAAAAGAAGTTGAGGACAACAAAGGACACTAAAATTGCCCCAAAATCCAACCGTTATGAAAGCTGTAGGTTCCTAGTCAGCTGAGATTGAGCCCCTGTTATTTTTTACACACAGAGATGGGAGCGGGGTCGCCAGTACAGGAGGCACATGCACAGCCCTACTGTACATTTTTTTAGTGGTAGGGGAAACCTAAGCAGACACGGGGAGAACATGCAAGCTAAACTTAGAAAGGCCCTGGTCCGACCGGGATTAGAACCCAGGACCTTCTTGCTGAGAGGCAAGAAAGGCTAACACTGTGGTGATGTCATACTCTGTCAGTCCTCTCCTCATACACGCTATGGGGAGGAGTCATGCTGATGCCCTTTGAAGGCTGGAATCATGGAATAAAGATGTGAACAGTTTTCTGACAACAGTTACGAGCAGTTTCTCTCTTCGAGCTTAAGACAAAACAAACTGTTATTATCAGAGCTGGTTCTTTCTATCTCCACACTGATCAGAATAAGCCATAAACAAACTTTTCTTCCACAATATACAGCCCCTGCTCCGAAGGCCCACATCTAAACCCTGTTCTGTTCTGGACGATAAGCAACGCCGTCACCAGCTTGAAATATGATGTGTGTTTGTGCTGTTAGCTGCTGCAGGGGGACAGGGCAGCTCTACAAACAATCCTCAATTTAATTCACTCCGATGTATTTGTGAATCGCTCTAAATGACAGCAGCAGTCATCTCAGAGGACTTTACAAAGTTGTAGAATCACAAACAACAGATCAAATAATCAAAAAATTCAAACACAGAAATGGAAAAATAACAAACACATAGGGGCCATTGGTTCATAGGGAGCGGGATGACCACTGCACATAAATGTTAATAAATGTGCAGAAATTTCCTTTTTTTATATGAACACAAACTTATACAATGTTTTTGTGTAATGTTGCACAACAGATTTATTCAGGTTGAAAAGTGTGTGTTGTAATGGTCCCCTGTGCTGTAAAGCAGGCACAACCTTGAAAGTTGCACAGAGATAAGTGCAGCGGAAGTGTTTAGGAGAGTTTAATGTGGAGTGTGTTTCCTGATGTCAGCTCTGAAGGTCAGCTCTAACAGAGAAACACAAAGTACTCCCTCATTCACTGATCGTCTAAACCTGCCCTCACCCTGACCCACGCACACTCCCCAAATCTATTATCAGCTCAAGGTAGTCCCCCCCCCCACTGCTCCCTGCCCACTTCTCTCTCTGCTCCCTCCTCCTCTCCCTCCCATATAGGATACATATATAACCCTAACACCTAAACGGCATTGGCCCATTACCTTTTCTTCAGAATTATGTATATTTTTGGATTCAAATAAAAGTATGTCTCGATCACTAAAGACTACGAAGCTTTAGAGTTTAAAGACACCACAAATGTTAAAGATTTGAAGATTTCTGAGTCCACAATCTCCAATATCTGAATAGAGAGAAGGGACGACAGACCTCATGTTCAAGGATGATCAGTGTTCTGGTGAGTGATGACCATCAGATCTACAATTATACACATTCTATATTTAGAAAACATTAAAAAACAATTTATTGGAACTTATTTTTGGAAACATCCCTGTGATAGTTAGCAGGTAGCTAGTTGGTTTTCTAAATTCCTGTGGGGATTTTAAATGGTATTTTCATCCGCAAATAGATGCTCCATATGAAGACATCCATGGTTTGCATGATACAGGGATGAGAATGGGACATTTCACAAAATTCTGAAATGCCAATGGCTGAAATTATGCACACAATACGCTCCCTTTGAGCGTAGAAAATGTTAAAAAATGTGACTTCTGATTATTTTGAACAATAAAACAGAATGGAAATATTTCATTACTACCCCCCCGGGTAGAAAACATTTCGCGCCCCCCTCCTTACATCTTCGGCTCAGAAAATCCATTCACAAGAGTGCTATCCACAGTGCTTCTGGAGGAGACAGGGGGGACACATGGACACATCCTGAGGCTCCCAAAATCCAGCTCTGTTTCTTGCAGCGGTGTATTTATCGCATGCACAGGTTACGCAAAGATACGCACTTGCAAAAAACTGCAGGGAACGGTTCTGTTGGCACTGGTCACATGGTGCCGCTCTGGCTGTGGGGTCGCCATGCTGTTGTCAAAGCGGCTGTTTCGTGCTTCTCCAGAATTCATCTATGGAGGTGGGAACCGTAGTTACTCAGAGTGGCGCAGCAACAGAAGATGTGGAATCTCGCTCGGGTATGTACAGCAAAGAACAGCAAGTTCCCCGTGGTCAAGCGCGCCCCTCACATTTTTTGAGAGAAAAAGTTGGAATTCCGCAAATTCTCATACCTGATTATATTTTCCTAAACATGAAATGATAACGATGGTGATTGACACATCAAAACCCTCAGGGGTGGGGGCTCACGGCTCGAGGAGCGTTAGCTCCTCATGGAGACACACAATAAAGTTCTGTGTTGAAGAGACTGACTGAGACGGTTTTCCTCTAGAGCAGGAGGCCAGAGCAAACACAGAGTAGATAAAATGACTAAAGCATGTGAGCTCAATGAGCACTGGTGTGGAGCCTCTCACCAATGAGCCCGGAGTAGGCCAGCAGACAGTCCGCATAGTTCTCTTTCAGACAGCCGGTGGTAGAGCGCGACTCGGGTTGACAGTTGGCAAAAAAATCAGCCAGCCGAGACCTGTGCGACACACACACACAATGAAAAGTCTTTATAATATCACACACAGCGTGTACTTCCAATATATACTACACACACATCTCACTACACACCTGATAAAAGGGCTTTTTGGTCTTTGTGCCATGTATATTTTGTGGGTGTGTGTGTGCATGTGTACAAATGTGTGCGTCTGTGTTTTCACGTGTGTCCCTGCAGATGTTCCAGACAGTTGTGTATGTGTTTTTCTGTGTGTATCTCTCTCTGTGTGTGTCTGTACGTGTTTGTGTGTGTGTACCTGCAGATGTAGTTTGTCTTGCAGCTGCTCTGTAGTTCCAGACAGTTGGGTTTGTGTTTCTCTTCGTAGGAGCATACAGGGACAATGGTCTGTCTGCGGCGCTCGGAGCACGCCGTCTGGTCCCTCATCGGGCACGAGCAAAACAGCATCCCATAGCTGTGCTTCGCCGGCACCTGAACCAGAACAAAGGGGTCACAGGTCAGAGGACAGGGGTCACAGGTCAATGAACAGGATCAGGTCACAGGTCAGAGCAGAAACAGGTCTTAGAACAAGGGTCACAGGTCAGAACACAGGGGTCAGAGCAGAAACAGGTCTGAGGACAAGGGTCACAGGTCAGACCACAGGGGTCACAGGTCAGAGCAGACATCACAGAGCAGAGGTTCTGGAGGGTATAATGGTTCATGTGTATTTACTCATGTTTGAGTGTCAGCCCAGAGGAGAGAGGAGGCTCCATACCTCAACCAGGTCCAGAACCCATGGACCTATTATAATATCTGTATAGGGTATTACTAGCTTGGAGCTGAAGAACCCACATGCTCGGGGGATTCTCGCAGTACTGCAGACTAAACTCGACCTCAGCTGAGAGAACCCACAGCTTTCATAGAGGTCGGATTTTGTGGGGATTTTAGTGTCCCTTGTCATCCTGAACTTTTTTTCTTCTTAAATCTGCTCGTCTGGCTCTCGCTCTAACTCCCGCTCTAGCTCCACTCTGATCAGCAACTCTGATATGTCAAAGCGCGGGCGAGCCCCTCTGCGCACGTACATGAGAGAAACGCACGCATATTTGGCGCAACGCATCATGGGAGATTATCCACTCCATTATATACCTTGACACATGCTGTTCCCACACCACATCTTTACTGAGTCAAATAAAACCATTGATTTGACACTTTCTACCCAGAAGCAGCAAGTGTTTTCGGTAGGTGTGTGCTGCAGGTGTGTTTAGCAAGTCTCAATCTGGTCACATCCCAATACTTTCTCCACAGAGGAACCAGAAGTGGACGCTCACACAACTGCCATATGTATCAAAGCCTCCTCCATTTTCTTTGAGGGGACGCTACAGAGTCATTCACAATATTTTTCAAGATTCCATTTAATGTCACAGAGCATTAACAACACTGCAGTCTGGTGGAACATGCATAAACCCCCTTGATCCACATGAATAAATGACTCAGTGTAAACATTTAATCAAAAGAGAGAGAGCAAAGAGACAAGAAGAGAAAACAGACAGACTAGAGAGAGACCAGAGAAATACAGAGAGAGTAACTTATTTTTCCCCAAAATAACTATAATTTCATAATTTAACTTTTGTTTTAATCTCTCATGCACATCTTAAACAATATGCACTTGATATATTAACTGCATTTGTTATCTCTGGTCCTTGATGTCCGGTTGTTAGCATCAGCTGTGGTGACTAAAACATGGCTCCGGGTCAGAGAGTGTCCATTGACACAGATCTGAGCTGTAGACGTCTAACAGACAGAAGCACCAGTCTCTTCTAATAGTGTGTGTGCATGTGTGTGTGGTTGAGTGTGTGTGTGTCTCTGTGACTGCATGTGTGTGTGCATGTGTTAGAGAGAAAGTGTTTCTATATCAGTGTCTGCATGTGTGTGTCGTGTTTGCTTCACTGTCTGCTCTGTGTGATTCCATCTCTGACATGTGTTTGCAGCCTTAGGAGCTGCGCTGATGCATTCGCTCTGTGTGTTTGAACACAAATGCACAGAGCACTTGTGCTCAAACTCACAAAGTTGTCAAAGACTTTACTGTTGAATAGTTAAGCCATTTCAACAAGTAAGCTCAGTCTTAACCTGAAAATTTGAGGAAATGGGAGTCTGCTCTGCTCCTGCTGGGTCTGATAGAAAACCTGCATTCACAGCGGCCCTTTCTGGACTGGTTTGGACACCTCTGTCATGGATTCTCTCCCAGTGGGTTCTCTCCTAGAGGGTTCTCTTCTAGTGGGTTAATTCCCAGTAGGTTCTATCCTGATGGTTTCACTCCCAGTGTGTTCTCTCTCGGGGGGTTCATTCCCGGTGGAAATAATGTCATCATTATATACTATACTGTAATTGGAATGTTGTTTGTTGTTCTTATCATTTTTAATATTTCCTATGTGGCTAAAAAAATATTGTAGAAAGCTTGTATTGTAATTCACTTTTGGCTCCGGGAAGGCTTCAGGAAGTCTGGGGGGACTCATTTGTTAAATCAGGCTTTTGAACATGCTAATAAAGAAGGTCTTGTCATTGTTCCTTGCTTTGTTGCTTCTTCCTTTCCTATCCGCATATGAAGGTGTGTCCTGTACTATCGAAAGGAGTCTACAGATTGTTCAGGATGAGATTGAGCTCCTGGTGGAGACAAGTCGCTTGTCCTTGGAATGCGACCAAGTAATAAAGAATGCAGGAACGATGCCTTTTGTGTGTGTGATTTTGTCAGGATTGACTGTGATTAAAACAGCAATAACATATACACACTAGTATTATACTCATGGATCTATTATATTAACTGGATAGGGTATTACTAGCTTGTAGCTGAATAACCCATGTGCTCAGGAGATTCTCGCGGTACTGCAGACTGAACCAGACTAAATTCACGTGGGCTACCCAGAAATTTTCCCCATAGAACTCAATGCAAATTAAAACAGCTCGACCTCAGCTGACAGGAAACCTACAGCTTTCATAAAGGTCGGATTTTGTGGGGATTTTAGTGTCCCTTGTCATCCTGAACTTTTTTTCTTCTTAAATCCTTCGGTTTTGTTTAAATCCACACTTTAGTGCCACAAACTCTGCTCGTCTGGCTCTCGCTCTAACTCCCGCTCTGATGAACTGCTCTGATTGGTCAGAGCGCGGCCGAGCCCCTCTGTGCACGTGCGTGAGACCCGGTGTGAGACCCACACACGCGTGTTTGACGCAACGCATTATGGGAGATCATCCACTGCGCAGAACCGGGAGGACCAGACGATGCCCAAATACAGGCGAGTTTCCCATAAATCTTTGCGAGTTTCAGGCAACTTCCGCTAATCTTTCAGCCCCCATGCCGTCACAAAGCGCCATTGAGCACAACCATTCATTTGAATAGGGCGCCATCTTGGATCGCCGGGGCTTGATTCTACTGTAAAATGTATTTACATTTGATTATTGGGACAATGAGGTAGCTATACAGCTCTCTTCTACCTCCAGGACACACTAGGATCATATCAACCCGAGTCTCTCACTGCACTTGCAGGGGAGGGTTTAGGTTACGAGCTCCTAATATAAACAATGTCTGAAAAAGAATAATGTGTCTTTTTTCCAAAAGGACTGTTTGAGTATGAAGAGCAGACTGACCTTATCAAAGAATTGGCGCAGCGCCTTGTGGCACTTCCTCTTGTTGCACACCTCGGCGGTAGACACGCGACTGGTGCAGGGGCTGATGTAGGCAGAGCGGTACTTCTTACATGTATCGTTCAGGTTACAGGCTTTGGCGGCGTTCAGACAGTTGTTCTCCCGGGCCATCGCTGGCTCTCCTGTGGGACATACACAATGGTCAGATATGACTATAATCAGGGGAGCACATAACTTTTTCAGTGAGGTACTCTGATGAGTACCAGAAGATGATAATCCACTCCCAGCCGAAAAAGTCAAATAAGGACTTACAGGGCTCTTTCTTAAGCACGCAAAAAACACAAAAAACTAAATCTAAACACGACAGGCTGTTGAGGTTTGTTCTGTTTGATTTGTTCACATTTTACTTATGGGCACCACCAACATGCATTATTAATGCAAGAGAAAATTTTGGTACCCAGCTTTAATTTACTGAGTTTTAGTTGCCACTGTAGACACTAGGGAGACATAGACACTCCCTGAGGCTCCATAATGCAGTTCTGTATTCATTGCAAAGACACGCACTTGCCACAAGCAGAGATTGGTCCTGTGCACGTGTTTACGGTCTGCGCTGGGTACATTATGACCACGTTAAGACTACGTGCTCACCACGTTGTCAAATCACAGGCCACTGGAGGCGGGAACCTCTGTCATCCGTGGCCGCAGCGTTCTTGCTCCGGGGTCAGACCGCTGCGGCCATGGAGGATGTTGAATCCTGTTCGAGCACGTACAGCAAACAACAGCAAGTGCCCAGTGGCCACACGCGCGCCCCCTACCTTGCATTGCACCACGCCCCCCTTGGAGGAGCGCCCCACTAGTTGAGAAGGACTGGTCTATGTGATCGTACGCATTTCTGATTTTTGTTGCGCATTCGTACTTGCGTACCAGTTATGTGCACCCCTGACTATAAGGACTGCCCTAAAAAGTAAAGGCATTTATACAATGTTTCCTAAGAGCATGTAGATAAAAGCTATTTTTTACCATGTTGCAAAATTGTTTGTTTTAGCTTTTCCCCTCTGTTCTGACACTGGGACTTTGGATTCAGCAGAGACGGCAGACGCAGAGAGGACACAGTGATCATTTATGGAAAACAAAAATGTATTTTATTATTTTATTTATTTTCAGTTATCTTATCTGAGTGCTCTTCTTTTCTCCTTTTACTCTGCTGTAATGTGTGATAACATTGAAATTTCCCCACAAATATAGGATTATCTTATCTTTTAAAACACAGTTGCACTCAACATTCAAGAGTGTTCTCAACACAACACATGCAAATATGAAGCAAATGTAATATAGGATTTACAGAAGGAGCTTTTAATGTATTTATTGGATTCTAGTAAAACTTCTCTTTCTCTGTAAGTGATGTGGCATAAGCTGTGCTTCACACAGACTTGGTCTGCCTCCGACCCCCACACATTTGGGATGTAGAGATTCACAGATTTGCAACGGTGGTTCGAGTCAAGCACTTGCGATGTGACTACACCGGAACATTACAGCATGCATCGATAACACAAAAGGGGCACATTTGTGATGCATCATCTCTTGCCTCTCTGTGTTGGATAAATCTTGTGTTGGATCGGTCTTAGAAGGCTAATGCACCTGCTCAACCCAGTGCCCATTTGTTATGGGAACATGTTTTATCCCGGTTGTTTATTGTTGACTGAGGGTCTATGCTGAGATCTGATTGGCAGCCCTGGCTCTGTCGTATTCCTGGGGTGGGACGAGCTCAGCCTTCACCTAATTGTATCGTTTCAATGACAGGGGTGAATTGTATCGCATTGGATCGCTAACAGGGTTGGATTGTATAATAATAGCAGGGGGCCTCAGTGTATTGTTATTGTATCAAATTGGTGATCAAGTATTGAGATGCATATCGAATTGGCCTTTGAGGTGAAGATACCCATCCCTACCAGACATGGACTCAGACTGCTTCTGACCCTCACACTGACCCGGGCTGTCACATGAATAAAAGTTAGACTCTAAAAACAAGTGCATGAGAACTTCACACGAAGCACACTTCTCCTAAATCTGTGATCGCTGTCCACAAGGCTGTCCACTGGGTCCACTTAACTTCACCCTCTATAGTCCACCTGCTGCTCTACCCACCATGGGCCTCAGCATCTTCTCCTCAGACTTCCAGTCCAGAGCATAACTTATTTACCCCAAGGATGGGCTAAAACAGTTAAAGAACAAAAATATCTAGCCCCTTGTTCTCCTAGCATCTATTTCCTGATCTTAGTATGAGTACAGCTGTACTTTACAGTGTGTACACCGCTTTGACAGAGGTCAGACCCAACGAATTGGCTTTAATGCAATTGAATAAAGAAATATCAGGAAACAAAATACCAAGATATACGAGAACGCCTACACGTTCACACCCACACACACAGATGTGGAATATTTCAATTAAAGATGAGATTTAAGCCAACTGAGACCACTATGAAATACTATGAAATAAAAAGAAAAGTCTTTAATATATTCATTCCCTTTGTGCTCGTGACGAAAGGTTTAAACTAGTGATACGGAGGTGTATCAAATTTATAGGACCCGGGTCCTGTTCAAGGGGACTCCAAGACCAGACACCCAAACCTCAGCTACAATACAGCCGATTCAAAGTGTTTACACAGTTAGTTTGTTGTAGACTATTACGTGGATTATCAAAGGTAATGCGTACAGAGAGCAGCGGAATAATCAGTCAAAAACACACTGACCCAGCAGTGTTTGTGCTGCAGGACCCTGGACAGACTCACAGCAGGACACTGGACTTGTATGTCTGTTGCTCTCCATACAAACCAATCTGTGAGCCGAGGGGCCATCTGGAGCCCACGCGCACACGTCTCCTTTATCCTTTCTCTAATTGATTACCACATTACCTTTTCCCACAGTTCTCCTCATCATCATCACCAGAACCAGGGGACAGACTGACCTTTACACACACTCCAGCCCAGCACACGGCCTCTGCTCTTTAAGAAATGTGAGATCTGGTTTGTTTTCACAATGTACTCAAGTGAAGATTTAACAAATGAATTTACGTCAGGCTGCGTGGTTAGTGCTCGCTTCTCAGCTTTCATGATTTCTCCCCTTTACTGTACAGGCTTCCTCCAGGGGCTTCGATTTCCCCTACCACAAAAAAACATGCACAAAAGCTCTTGTCGTTCTGGGGCCAGGACTACCCTGAAAATTACTAGGTGTACAAGTGATGCACTTTCATTATTTTATCTGTGGTAAAATAATGAAAGTGCATCTAGTAAATAGAACTACTCCGCTACAGGATTTACGCAAAAGATGCTGATTTGGGGTCGACGGCCCATCCTGCAAATATGGTCCTGTTCTGTCCAGGGTTAGAAATGAGATGATCAGGTGTAGAGTCCAGTCCTAGTCCAGTTCAGGATCAAGATTGAGAGCTTGTTGGTGTAGACTTTATTTATCAAAAAAACATAAATGCTGTCATAATGTCACTGTTGGATTAGTTTTATTGCTTCTTGTACTAAAAGTTGAGTTGCGCACATACACCGCCCCGACAAGGGGCTCACTGAAAAAGCTAATATTAGGTTTTAGGTAAATAACTCTGGTTATATGGTTTTGCAGTTGCACAGCAGACATGAGTTCCTTTCTGAGCTCATCATCACCATCCATCCTCAGCCCCTTACCTGTGATCGGGCTCTCCCTGCACACTGGGCCTCTGTGCCATCTGGCTTGTGTTATGGCTCTAATGGCTCTTGGGTGGCCTTTGGGTGGCCCCGGATGTCTGCTCTCCACTGCACACTCCATCAAAGCCTCTATCCTGAGACAAGCAAAGCCAAGGACTACTTTTCTGAATGCTCACTCAGTGTCTGTGTTTTTAAAGTATAACTTTGGTTATACTTGATATGGTCGTAAACAATCTGCAGAGAAGTGAGATCTCTGAGATGTTTAAAGATACATCATGGTTTGAGTTTTATCCACCTTGGAAAAAAGGCTGTACAGTGCCATTGATTAATTCAGACTTTTCAGTTAGGAACTACTTTAGGTATCAGAGGGGCGACAGCGGCTCAGTTGGGAGAGCATTGGCCTTAAGTTCGTGGGTTCGAGCCCACCACAAGATCTACTTCACGACTCCCACTGATGACTGCTGTCGTTGTGTCCTTGAGCAAGACACTTAACCTTACTTTACCTGAAGCCCCTGCTGAATAATCAGGGCTCCTGTGGACTCACCACCTGCAGGGGAATCAGTGAGGGGCTCGTGCTATGTGTACTGGGTGCAGCTCTGACTGCCACCCCCCCGACCCAGAAACGGATTAGGGAGAAGAAAATGGGTGGATGGATGTTGGCGTTTGAACCAGAGGGTAAGGGCTCCCACTACACAGCACTGAGGCATGCTGAGTAGGCTCTGTAGCATGCTGGGTAGGGGCTTTATGAATTATATGTAATTGTATACATCTGAGGAACAAAACCATTCATTAAATAATAAACCAATAAGTTTTATTATTATTCTAAGTTTTTTTCTAGGTGTATATCATTTCACAATTTATGTTTCGGAAATATGTCACACAGTCTACCAATAATGATCTATTTATTATTCATACCAATACCCCTAACCAATCAGATACGTACAAACGCAATGTTAAGATCAAAGTTAAAAGTACAGTTTTGTCTTTTAAATACATCATAGTAAAATGTCCATTACTCATATGTTAGCCCTGAGGCATGAGAACAGAGCGGCTTTGAAAACAACGCTGTGTGTTCATTATTTGACCTCAGTGTTCTGTTTGAACTGAGGTGTGAGTCTGTTCTTGGTCCACAACAAATGAGTCAGAGATCATAATTATAATAATGATAATAATAATGATAATAATAATAATAATAATAATGACGAAGACGCTCTTTAGAGGAGCCAGAACAAGGACCAGAGCAAAGACCAGGGGCCGTATTATTTTTTTTACACAGAGATCTTTTGACACAGACCTGCCTTCACAGATTCGCAAGTGTAACTTTGACTGTGTGCGTGTTTACCCAGATTTGTGTGTGTGTAATTTGACATTTGTATCTGTAACAGAACAATTTGTGTGTAAATAACCACGTTGTAAGAAGAGAAGAATGGAAAAAAGCCTACGCATAGGCTCTCGTTTTACACACAAAACTTTTGACACACTCGAGCCGTCATTGTCTCTGGAGATTCATAAGCGTAATGTGGTTGTTATAGCACTATACAAGCAGATGGTGCTGTTGTAGCTGGCAATTAAACGCAAGCAAACCAACACTCCCTGCCTTGTCAGGAAACACTGCCTCAGCTGTTTGTGATGTAAGGCAAACCTGCGCAACCTATTAGCTACCATAGGTAGCTAATAGATTACAAATGAACTGTCAGGTTGATGATGGAAATATTATACAAATCTAATTATGTTGTAAGCTAAAAGTTGTCGAGTCACAGAACCCTTCTGTGTGGACTGCTGCATACGTCGTATGCGGCAGTCCACACAGAAGGGTTCTCACTCCATGAAAGAACAATAGCAGACGTTGAGGACAGCGACAAGTATCTCGGTATACCACAGGCAAATGGCAACGTAAAGTTAAAGCTGCACTAACTGACTTTATTTTTGTATTCATTACGAAAATGCTATCCATGTCCGTGTAGGGCATTGGGATATACATCATTTTGAAGAAAAAGTAGCGCAGATTTGTGCTGGCGTGACATTATATTTTAGATCGAGTTTTGATGAAACAAGGAAGAGAATGTGTTTCGGGTCGCGGATTGTGACCAATAGCAGCGCACCACTAGCCCCAACTTTCGTGCGAAATCTACAGGGGTCCGTTAGCATAGACGGCTGAGTTAGCACAACAAGCCGAGGAGCTAACCTGAAACTTCGTGTGTCTTCGTCATCGGTTACTGCTTACACAGCGACACAGCCATCCAAAAGAAAGTCCCGTTCCTCCGCGCTTCCCGGTTCTATCGTTCTATGGTCACGCCATCCACGTACAAATCCATATTCGTGTATTATCCATATTGGGATACGCTAACTCCGTCCCAACAGTGGGTGTGTGTGGGGGCGATAGCTTCGTGGGTGCGGGGAGGGGAGCAGAAAGAGAGAGGCCAGCGAGTCCGCGGCTTCAAAATCCCAAAGTCAGTTAGTGCAGCTTTAAGAAATTAACCCCGGTTCTCTGATAACATGAGTGAGGTATCTCACATATGGGAACGCTCTCTGGCTGTTTCCGCAGAAGCCCTATTTCACCATGCCAGTCTCCTGATTGGCATTCAAACGTGACGTCACCTTCAAAAGGAGGCGGGGCTACCGCCTTCTATATAGAGCGTGACAGCACATCCAGACATCAGTCAAAGCAAGCACACCTCTTCTCGCTCCAGGCAAGAAGGGCGGTCTGGTGAGATAGGTCACTCATGTTATCAGAGAACTGGGGTTAATTCCTTAACCTTATGTTCTCTTTCTACATTTTGTGAGGTATCTCACATATGGGATATAGAGACTCCCGTATTGTCAGACAAGCTTACTCAAAGACCAAAAAATGATAACCTACAGAGGCACTCCAGGTGGAGCCCTCACGCTCAGGACATTCCGAGACAGTGAGGGGCTCGTGACATCCAGTCTATAAAACCTGGCAAAGGTGTGAGGCGTAGCCCAACTGGCCGCCGCACAAATCTCCTCTACCGAGGTACCCTGGAAGAGTGCCTATGAAGTAGCCATGCCACGAGTGGAATGAGCGCGCAGTCCTCCAGGAGGCTGCTGCCCACAGCTTCCACTAACCAATGAGACAGACGCTGTTTGGAAAGAGGCTTACCCCTGTGGGGTTTAGCCCAAGATACAAACAGCTGCTCAGATTTCCGTAATGAAGCAGTCCTGTCTACGTACGTGCATAATGCGCGCACAGCAGAAAGTGCATGAAGCCGCTGATCCTCCTCCGAGAAAAACGGAGGGGCGGAAAAAGCAGACAGCTCAATCGGAAGGCATGACAAAGTCGGATTAAAGACTTTCGGTATAAAGGAAGGGTTAGGTTTCAGTAAAACCTTAGAATCTCCCCTTATAAACTGCATACATGACGCGTTCACAGACAGTGTGTGAATGCCACTCACGCGTTTTGTTGATGCCAACGCCAGCAGCAGATCTGTCTTAAAAGAGAGAAGTTTCAACTCTACTGCATGCAACGGTTCAAATGGTAGACGAGACAGAGCGTCTAGCACTGTCGTCAGATCCCACGGAGCAACCAGGCTCTTCGAAACTGGTCTTAGGCGCCTTTCATAAACCGGCATATAAGAGGATGCTGGCCAACAGTCTTATCTCCAAAGCCAACGTGGCAGGCCGATATAGCCGCCAGGTACACTTTAATGGTGGGGAAAGCAAGCCCTTTATCCAACAAACTCTGAAGGAAAGTCAGAACAACCGGTACGGGACTTTGAAATGCGATGTGGCCCGAGTTTACGCACCACTCGTCGAAAGCCCTCCATTTCCCATCATATGCACTACGAGTAGTAGCGGCTCTAGCGCTCTGCATAGTAACAATGACATTATCTGGGAGACCAGTAGAGGATAAGTTCATCCTCTCACGGGCCAAACCCATAAAGCCAGGCGCTCTGGGTAAGAATGGAATATTTCCCCGTTTGCTTGAGTCACCAGATCTCTGAGCATGGGCATTGAAATATCTCCGCTATCCACATCATCGCTGGCCAATATGGGGCCACGAGGATTAGGGAGTGTTTCTCCTCTCGAACACGAGAGAGAATCGGAGCAATCAGCTCTAGCGGGGGAAACGCATACAGGAGTGTGCGTGGCCACACATGTGACAGAGCGTCCACTCCGAGTGGCATGCACTGATCCCTCAGGGAAAAATACAGGTGGCACTGAGCATCGTCTCGAGATGCAAACAGGTCCACCTCGGCTCTGCCGTATTTCCCCCAAATCTGTGCCACAACCCCGCTGTGGAGTTTCCAGTCCCTGTAGCGAGGGTTGCCCCGCGAGGGAAGGTCTGCGCCTCTGTTTAGGACGCCAGGGACGTGTGTGGCTCTCAGTGACAAGAGATGAGAGCTGGCCTATACAATCAGTCTGTGTGCTAACGCATGCAGCTGATGTGACCTTCGCCCACATGCTGTCCCCTGATAAGAGGAAGGAAATGTCTCAGTGCCAGCCACACAGCCTGGAGCTCCAGGAAGTTTATGTGGCACATCTGCATCTGCAAGAAAGTACTTCAAATAGAAAACTGCCTGGCATTGGTCTGGCGGTACGATCCGAACAGCCCTCTTGTTCTGAGGGCAATATGCCTCTGAACCGGGGGGGCATAATTGCAAATTGGGGTCTGTATCCTCTTGTGATAGTTTTCATCACCCAATTCGACGCTCCACATTCTCGCCACTGAGGCGCACAAGGCGTTAGTGGGCCCATGGGCGACCTCCCGAAGGTGGGCCCGTTCCCTGGGGCTGTCTGGCAGAGTGGAGGTTGTGGAACAAGTGGTATAATGACTCCCTCTAGTGGGTCTGGAGGGTGTCGCAGAAGTGACTCTGCGCTGTTCAATTTCTTTGTGTCTACCCTGTGTATGTTTTGCAACATTTGTGATGGGTGAACAAAAACACGTTTTTATTGAACATTTGTGAGAGAGAGAAGGAAAAAGACACCGGTGTGTGCCTTCGGACAGCTGCCGTGGCTCCATTGAGCTCTGTGTAGGCACGGTCCTCCTCTTTGTGCTGTGAGTGACGAGCGCAGATAGAACAGTCTCTGCGCGTCGCTTCACCGCTCTCACCTGAACCACTTGGACACCGGACCGCGGACAGGGGGTGGGTGTCAGGTCTGACCCGGTCCTCTGCCGCAGTGGGAGCACGCTAGGTGTCCCACTTTTTCTTCTTTGCCCCGTGGGAGGCGGGCTGGCCCTGCTGGGGTCCAGCCTTCGCTTTCGGGGCAGACGGTCTCCTAGTCCACGCACCCTTGAGCTCAGGAGGCTCACTGCTCTGAGGCTGGGGCTGCATTGGGTGTTTGGAGTTGCGGTACGTGGCCTATCCGGGTACAGGCTGCTGAGGAAACTGAGAAGGGACCTTTGAAACGAGCACTTTTCTTGGGAGACCAAGCTGCAGCGCTTCACCCTCACGTTTCTTCTCCTTGCACCTCTTTTGCATAGTGGCAACGGCAGAACCGAACAATCCTTTTGGGTCCACAGGGACATCCAGGATCTCAGTTTTGTCCCTATGGGAGAGGCTGGAGAGGCTGAGCCAGCAAGCTCTCTCCTGCGAAACCATAACTCCCATGGCACGGCCACATGCTTGCACAGCGCACTTGTGGAGGCGTAGGCAGAGGTCAGTGACCACGCATAACATTTCAGCGCTTGGTGAGGCCGTTATGTCATCCTGTATTTCAGCTTGAATAGCTAGAAGCAGGGAGGATGCATTCAGGGCTCTCACTGACGTGGCAACGGCTTTATAGCTCTTCTCGTTAAGCGTTGTCTGGAGGCAATCCGCTTTTGAGTGGAGCGCCGTGCCACCAGCGTACATTGCGTACCGCTGTGAGGGATGGAGGTGTGAGGCCACCAGGGGTTCAACGGGGGAAAGTCGGCTGAAGCCCTTTTCTTCCATACCGTACCAGTCCAGCGCGGCCCCTCCCTGGGTGGGGGTTATCGCGGTGAAAGGTTTATCCCAGGGCCGAGTGGCTTCCTCCATGCACTCTGGGAAGGCGGGCAAGAGCTGTTTCTCCGAGGCTTTAGTTTTCAGAAGCCTTCGGCCTTCGTATTAAGACTTTGCGGTCTCGGTGGGGACCTCTGGCCACTCAATGCCTAGCTTTGCAGCTGCTCTGCGGGAAACGTCATGCAAGCTCTGCGCAGCAGGTGGAGTGGGTGATCCACTGCTGGCCGTCACGCTTCCCTGCCTTGCGGCTTGTGTCAGGGTGAATTGCTCCATAATCAAGTCCTCGTCCTCCTCGGACGGGAGGCTTATGGGCTCATCCCCGGAGTCGGGAGACTCGACGAGGTGGTCTCCTGAGGCCCCGAGGCCCGGGTCTGAGAGAGGATGCTCAGCGTCCATTTGCATGGACCAGTTGAGCTCCGTGAAGGTGACTCCACACGGCCTCTACTCCGACTCTATCTCTGACACGGGAATGGTTACCCCCATCACAGGATTTCCCCCCGCTAGACTCGCGAGCCTTCTGCGGCGGGTTTTCTCCGATAGGCGTGCACAGTGGTCACAGGTCACCGTGTCGGCTACGGCATCTCGGGCATGTTGCAGCCCGAGGCACAAAGCAGGCAGAGTGGGAATCTGCTCCGGAAATATTGTGCCCACAAGTGCACAACCTTGACTGTAGCATAGCGTTCTCCATGGTGGGAAAGAACGTGTGTTACAGCGTCTCGCCAGGCTAGTATTGCTACTAGCCCCAGCAGCACCTGTTTGGAGACAGACGTGCTGCTAGCTTTTCAGCTAGCGACCGGAAGTATTGCTACTCACCGCGGTAGCACCTGTTTGGGACGGACGTGCTACTAGCGTTTCAGCTAGCAAGCCAGTAGCACCTGTTTGGTGACAATCGTGCTACGAGCTCCTCAGACAACAAGCGGTAATAGGTAGCGTTCGGCGTCGGAGTGATTAGCCCCTTCTGTGAACAGTTTAGCTAACCCGTTAACCACCAGTCTGAGAGTGAGCTTCTGGGAGCGAGAAGAGGTGTTTGACGAAAGCAAGAAGTGCCGGGCCAAAGCAAAACAAACATGGCTACGCGGGAGGACGGACGCGTAGCTGAGGCTATCAAGTCAGTTTTAGCAGAATCTCCAATTTCTTTTTTGAAAGATGAACAGCGAGAGGCGCCTTGTGCATTTCTGGACAGCAACCTTGGGAGGCGGGCACACAGCGTCACTTCGCCCAATCAGCTTGAAGTATTCTGCTGCTTATCCCTCCTTTCCGCGAATAGATTCTCCTGCAGAAGTCCCAGATTGATATTGTGGAGAATGCATTAGAGTTCTACACAATCATCAATCTGGCTCTGGCCAGGTTAGTGTTTGACTGGTGTTTGACTGATGCCTGACGTGCTGTCCTGCTCTATATAGAAGCGGTAGTCCCGCCTCCTTTTGGAGGTGACGTCACGTCTGACTGCCAATAATGAGACTGGCATGGTGAAATAGGGCTTCTGTGGAAACAGCCAGAGAGCCTTCCCATATGTGAGATACCTCACGAAATGTTGAAAGAGAACCTCGAACAGGCAACGAGGAAAGCAGCAACTGCCAAATACCTCCAGCGAGTAAGGCAGGTCCAAAGCCGTCGGCTCACAATTAACAGCTATTCCCTGCCACTGATCAGATACCCTGCAGGAATAATCAGGTGGCCAAAGGAAGAGATTCACACTACGGATGTTAAAACTCGAAAGCTCCTCACCATGCATGGCGGGTTCCATGCATGGCTGGCATAGTGTACAGAAATATCTGTGCAGAGTATGGGCTGGAAACCCCAAGGTCTTAGTGGGAAACTCCTCCAAAGCTGGTGGAGAATGAGCGTGTGAAGATCCTGTGGGACTTTCAGATACAGACCGACCAAATGGTAATGGTGAACCAACCTGACATTGTGGTGGTAGACAAAGGGCAGAAGAAAGCCGTGGTGGTGGACGTGGCAATAACATCAGGAAAAAACACAAAAAGCTTGAGAAATACCAAGGGCTCAGAGAGGAGCTGGAGAGGGCCTGGAGGGTAAAGGTGACAGTAGTGCCCGTGATGATCGGTGCACTCGGGGCAGTGACCCCGAAGCTTGAAGAGTGGTTACAGCGGATCCCTGGAGCAGAACTACCAGAAATCTGTAGTGCTAGGAACAGCAAAGTACTGCGCAGAACCCTCAAGCTCCCAGGCCTCAGGTAGAGGACCTGAGCAGAGGGATAACCGCCCGCGGAGGGAGAAAGGTGTGTGCGTTTTTTATATTTGTATTGAGGCTGGGACTCGATTAAAAAAAAATCGAATTAATAAGAGGCTTTGTAATTATTTAATCGCAATTTGTCGCATTTTAATCACATATAAATATTTGACCTGAGAACAGTGAGAAGTATTTTTTTTTTTTTCAATATACCATTGAATAATGACTGAATACATAAGCTTGAGCAACAAAAAATATTTTTTATTTTTGTTCAAGTCCAACAGACCAGTGCAATTTTGGCCATTAAGTGAAGCAATACCATGTTTAGAAATATACTTCCCATCCATGGGGCCAACCAACGCGGTCACATCAGCTTCTTTGTTTTTAGGTAGCCCACGTGAATTTAGTGTTGTTTAGTCTGCAGTACCGCGAGAATCCCGCGAGCACAAGGGTCCTTCAGCTCCAAGCTGTAATACCCAGTTATTATAATAGATCCATGGTTCATGTTCACTGTGCCACTGTGGTTTGTTGTTGTCTGAACCAAATTCATATCATCCATGATTCATGCGGGTTAGTTGGTGCAGTACAATCGGCTGATCTGAAAATCATCCAGTGAGAAACGTTTCGCGGTGCAAAAATGAATACAATTAAAATGTGTCAATTTTTTACAAGCTTTTTTGTGTGTAATTAAGGCAAGGCAAGTTTATTTGTATAGCACAATTCATACACAAGGCAATTCAAAGTGCTGAACAAAACAAGAAAGCATTAAAATCATAAATAATCACAGTACATTAAAAAGAAAGATACAAATATAAAATCCCTCAGTTGTATGCACAGCTAAACAGAACTGTTAAGCTCCTACATCTGTTTTGGCTCGTACCCAAATGTCTTTGCTGATTTAAAAACACATCTTACATCTCACATGCTTGTGTGATGCATCATTTTAAAGCTAGGCCCTTCTAGTTTATGTAAATATACACTAAAATAATGTGTGTCATTCCTATTTTACTCTGCATCCTTTGAAGTTTGGGAAAAAAACCTGTTTTTTTTAGCCTCGCCTAAAACATTCAATGTATAAATGCCCTAAAAAAGCCTACTTCATTGAAAGAAGAAAATTTTCAACGCTAATTTGTTCATTGTGTTGTTGACAACAACTGTGTAAAGTTTCAGACTTCTAAGTTTTATATTTTTTATGTAGTTTCTCTTTTTTATCAAGTAGTGCCATTCGGAACCAATTTGGCAAAATGTGTGCCAAATTGTGTCAAACTGCTTTACTAACATTTCACCATCATAAAAAGCATATTTTTTAGTTTTGGTACTTATAAGTTACAAATCTGTGTGATTTTCTTTTACATTTTTTCAAAACTATTTTTTTAGTAGTGTAAATGCATATAAAATACGTGCAGCAGTACTAACAGCGTCTTTACGCACGCTTTTACTGTGAAAATGAAAAGAGTTCCTACAAGTCCCACCCATCAAAAGAAAGCTCTTTTTATTGGCTACTTAGACACATCTATCATTCAGAGTTAGCTCATTGTGCTAGCCATGCTAATCAACAACAAGGCAAAAACGGACCCTCTGCAAGTGGTTGCGGTTCGTCTTTTTCACAAGGGTCCTGCGGACTGAAACCTGCTCCTATCTCTTCATCTCTCTTTTTGAAGCTAAGGACTCAAGGAACACGTGGGTATGATGTTTGTGGGGGTAAAAAAACCTCAAACTTGGTGAAATGTGAAAGAGAAGCCTGAACATTTTTTGGAGCGTTTTTTTTGCAACAGAAAAATGCTCATTTTTGGATTATTTCTGAAGAATGGATTATACTTTGGGATATACATGTGGATATTCTTTTTCACTGAAGACTTACGGAGAGAAAGATACTAAGCAAGGATGGGGAAAGTCTAATTTGTTGGAGCTGCAGAAGGCGAAAGGTAAGAAACTTATACAAACACGATTTATTTTGTGCCCATATTATGCGTTATATCTTTTTAATGCAAAGTCTGATATCGTTTACACTTACATATAAATAATACGCTTTAAAATGATATATAGCTTGTGGATTATGAAGTTCAAAATACATCTGCTATTGTCAGCAGAAGTATTTTTGTTCTCGTTTCGAGCTTAAGAGGTTAACCTAGTTTTAAACATTGTCAGAGAGGAGGCCTGTCTCACATCTTCAGGAAGATTGTTCCAGATTTTAGCAGCATGAATCTGAAAAGCAGCCTCCCCATGTTTAGTTCTGACTCCGGGCACTAACAGGAGTCCAGTCCCTGTGCTCCTCAGAGTCCGGGCTGGTTCGTATGGTACTAACATGTCACTAATATATTTTGGTGCGAGGCCATGGAGAGACTTGTACACAAACAGAGCTGTTTTAAAGTCTATTCTCTGAGCTACAGGAAGCCAATGCAGAGACCTGAGGACTGGACTAATGTGGTCGTACTTCCTGGTTCTAGTCAGGACTCGAGCTGCTGCATTTTGGATGTACTGCAGCTGTTTTACAGCCTGTTTGGACAGACCTGTGAGCAGGCCATTGCAGTAGTCTAACCTACTGGAGACAAATGCATGGATAAGAATCTCCAAGTCTGCTTTAGACACTATGTTTTTGATCCTTGCAATGTTTTTCATATGGTAAAAAGCTGCTGATGTTACTGATTTGATGTGGCTATTAAAATTTAAGTCTGAGTCCAGTATTACCCCTAGATTTCTGACCTTGTTTGAAGGTTTTAGGGAGAGAGACTGTAGGTGACAGATGACGCTCTCTCTTTGTTTCTGGGGACCAAAGACAATCATTTCAGTTTTGTCTGCGTTTAGCTGAAGGAAGTTGTTTTGCATCCACTCACTGATCTGTTGGATACCGTGGAGGAGTGAGTCCACTGGTCCATGTTCTCCTGCAGTCAGTGAGACATAGATCACTTCGTTTCTGCGTATTAACTGACCTAACGGCAGCATGTAGAGATTGAACAGAAGAGGTCCCAGGATCGACACTAATCCTGATACGCAAGCACAGATTTTTTTTTATACACACACAAATCTGGTTACACACACACACATCTTTTTACGTACACACAAATCTGTTTACGCACGCACATATATTATTGAAACAATAATAGCTCCATCCTTATGCCTAAATATTCTGAGAGTCTTCTCAGAGAGCTCCTAACTTAAGCTATGACTCCTAGCTAGGAGTTTTTAGGTTAAGTTATTCCAGAACATTCTCATAGAACCCTGAGCAAGGAATGGACAAAAACTCCTTGTGAGGAGGCGTGGCCGACCCTGTTGCTAGGTGTGAGTCATGTGATGGCAAGCGACTAGTATTCATGCAACCCTGCCTGTTTCTATTCATATGTCATATGTCCCTGTTCCAGGAAGGAGCCGGGCCCCCCTGACACCCACAGACAATGGCGCAAATCACTGTTCCCCCTTTTGCCTCTTGCATATCTATCGGTCTGTATGTGTGCATCTTCTTCATCCTGCTGTCTG